TCGATTGACTGCGATTGTAGGACAACTTACACTTCCACGTACGCCAGCTCAAAGTCGTCATCTACCTTGACATACTCATTCTTTCGGACATGAGGCATATTGCACCAGTTGTACGTTCCGTACTCCACACCGGCAGGCAGCTGCGAGCTGTTGAACACGAACCCATTGGTACCCGTTCCGTTCAATACTTCATCAAGATCATTAACCCAGCTCTTCTTAGGTGCGTACCAGCCCAAATCTACCTTTGTTACATTCTGAGCTACCACTTTAGTAGCTATAGAAGCAAAGAGTAGCGATGCATAGCTGCGCGAGGAAGTCATATCGGGATCCTGAGGCGGCCGAAAGAAGAGCGTGAACGCGGTAAAGACGAGAACGAATGCTGCCAGAGCAGAAAAGACGGCATGGTTCATGCCTTGTATTTATAAATCGCTCAAGGCGCGATACCGGGAGCCATTGCAGATGCAGAAGGTCTCGTCGTTAATGACGAACGCTGAGAGCCGAACGATGGTCGCTGCGCGCAAGACATGCACGATGCGAGGTACGAGATAGCGATTGGTCAATGGGACAACGAGTCCGGCCCGCCAACTGGTATCTCGGGATAAGACACAACGAAAATTATCGACACTGGTCCTGGGCTTCGTACTGGTTTTCACAATTTGTACCTTGATCCTAGCTTATTTCTCCACCGGGCTTGTTTCTTGCGAGTGTGGATCGAGCAATACTAGCTTGGATAATCACAGTCAAAAAGCAAGAGCAACGAATGATTCATAAAATACAATTTTTTTACTACTTCCGCAGAGGTACAATCAGCATGCTACAATCCCTCCACCGATCTCTCGATCGCTTGCTAAATACACGTTGAAGCTGTTCCCGCATTGCTCCAAATACTATCAAAGGCTACGCTCAGCGTGAACAACGTATCGACCACCCGGATCCTTTGTGAAACGGAATGAACTTTGTCGGAACGGCATGAATCTAGAATATACTAAACAATAAGAAAAAGGGTATGCGCAATCTTAAAATCAGATGAAAACACAAGCTTCCAGATGCAGACTGATATAGGAAAAGGCGTATGAGACCTCCAAGTGAGAACATGTACGGTGTGAGTTGTGATGGATGGCGAAGGATCAGAAGATGCTTCGCTGGGTAGAGATTGAATGATCGCGTTGTGCAGCGATGTTGCTTGTCGTGGATCCAACTCGAAGATGCCGCGGGTGTGGCAAGATGCCTGGGTTCCGAGGGTCGAGATACCTAGAAATCGTTGCTGGGGCGATATGGGCGATACTCGCGGCTGCCAGCGCTGGCTGCCCGGCCATTGGTCGCAGGAACAGAGAGCTGCCTGGAGGCTGGTCCATCCGATGTAACGACCCGTCGTCTGCCCTTTTCCAGTCGAGTGGTTCTCCAGCCCTCGTACCACTGTTCACGGGAAGCTTCGCGTAGCTCAGAGCGCCAGTCGCTGAAAACACTCTCCCTGAGTTTGACGAAATCACAGTGCTCTGGGTTGTAGGGATCGGCAAAGCCCCATGGGAATCTGCGACCAACAACCTCGGGGTCGTAAGGATCTGGCGAGATGATGCTGAGAGGCAAGAACGGAGTCTCTGCACTCTCGCTGTGGATCGAGGCGGACATGGCGGACGGCTTACGGCTGTGACCTTTCCTGGCGCTGGGGGGCGACGTGGGAGGTGAGTGCGACCTGGTCGAAGAGCTGGAGGAAGCCATGGAGCGCGCTGCTTCGGAAGAAGATCGCTCGAGGATTTTGTTCAGAACTTCTGATTTGCCTTCGCCCTCAGACGACTGCTCGTATTCGTCCTCGTCGCGCTCATCAAGTCGGTCGGGGTCTTCGTCATCGTCGCCAAGGTCCAAGTTCAAAGCTTCCAAGGGGTCCAACTTTGCGCGCTTGATGGTGTCCCAGACAGTCTTCTTCAGATAGCGCATGTGCGCGCCGGTGATTGTGTCTGCCTTGCTGATGACTGGGATGACGGTGGTCCTGGTTTGCAGCTCGCGAAGTATGTTGAGATCGAGACGATCGTCTAGACCACCGAAGATGGCGCTGCCAGCATTGACAATGTTGGACTTCTTGCGAGCCTCGGCTATGTTCTGGTCGAGACGAATCGGATCCAAAACGAGGAAGACACAGTGGATGTGTGTATCCTTAACACCTGGCGCGCGCACGACCTTCTGCTCCTCGCTAAAAGTGTCTTCGAACTTGGACTCGAGGAACGAGGTGATGATGGGCAGCTGGAAGTCGACAATGTTCTTCTCGAGGCCCTCAGAGTCCCAGAGCGTGACGCCGACTCTCTCGCCATCAACTTCGGTCTCGAGGAATTCGGAAGTGAACGGCGAGTCTCCACCACCTACGGCGGTAGCAGGCGGCGAGGGAGTGTTTGGGCGCTTTCGAGCCGGGAGCGCGAGCGCAGTGCGGAGAAACTCGATGAAAGAAGATTTGCCGCAGCCTTTGGTGCCAATGACAAGGATGCTAGGTACTGGTTAGCTCAGTGACTATGGCGATGCAGCGGAACATACTTGAAAGGCGTGGGGTCCTTCCTCCTTCGCACACGACGGGGGCTGTTGACGGTGCTGATCTGGCTGCTGGCGTAGCTGTAGCGACCGCGGTTGGTCATGCTCTCGGTCCTCGGGTAGGGATCGTAATCCATGTAGGTCGAAGGCGAAGAGCCTGGCACGGGCGGCGCCACAGCGGGGCTGGGTTGAGCGGGAGCCATCCTGTAGGTGTCGGTCGAGGGGCGGCTGAAGTTGTGGGCAGTGGGGTTGTAGGTGCCGGCCTTGTTGGAGACAATGGCAATGGAGTCTGGGCGCGTGTCCTCACCTCCGAACGTCGCGAGCTGGGGAAGGGCCGAGTGGGAAGGCAGGCGCGGCGGCTGCTTAGGCAGCATGGTAGCTTCGCGCTGCCTGCGGAGAGCCTCCTCCTGGGCGAGGGCCTTTTGCTTCCTGCTCATCTTGCCGCCGGAGACGCTTCGATTGGTGCTGCTGCCGCGGATTTCAGAGGAGCTTTTTCCGCTGGTTCGGCGCAGGAAGTTGAAGCTGGAACGGCGCGGTCCTGTTTGGTCGGCGGAAGACTGGGACTGGGACTGGGCTGCAGAGGGGCGGACAGAGGGGTCAGGTGAGCCGTCTTTGTAGGCCGAGGTATTGGTATTAGGTGGATTAGGGGACCGGTCGTCAGTGGTGGTGGCCATGGTGGGCAGCAGAGGGCTCTTAATATCAGTGGCTCACACTTCGCGCGCGTGTAATCTTAGCAATCGAGGACTGCAGCGGAGTGGGTAAGCAGTCCTGCTGGGTCTTGCTGGGCTGGGCTGTCCTGCGCACGGCACAGCAATTCGGAAGCGTCTGGCGTCCTAGTGCGAGGGCAAGTGAAATTGGAGGAGGAGCAGCCGGCTGTATCCCAAGGTCAGCACTTGGTCAAACGCGCATCCAAATGGCGCGTGCGGGTCGGGGGCCCAGGGTCTGGTTAGAGCCTCTGACTAACCTTAAGGCCCGAGGCACTACTGCAGGAACGATACGCGCAATGGCACCCCCGGATTCTGCACAAAAAGGAATGCGCCGTAGCAACGTTGCGACAGAGTGCAGTTTGGGAGGACGAGAGCATGCAAATAGCCCTGGAGGGCGAAGGGAGAACAGACCGCCACAACGACTACCCCAACGTCAACACGGCGTGACGCGTCTCGGGAAGGAGAAGGCTGGACGGCGCCTGCCATTGGCCGCGGCTTCTCGAGGTTGGATGCACAGCGGGAAACGACGATGGTGACGCCGACGGGGGTGGCACGCCCGAAAGATCAATGCGAAACAGCTGGCCTAACCAGACAACCACGGGCGACAGCGCCCAATTTGCACGCGCGCCAGTCATTATTCGGCACGCGATAGCTTCGTGTTGTGTAATCGTTATCGTCCGCCGGCGACATGCAGCTGGGGACCCGGGCCCTGGTGATCGTCACGCACATGAATAGGGGTTCACGCTAGCCTGCTCATCTCGAGAGCCCAGTGCCGCGCTGAGGGCGCAGAAGCCAGGTGTTTCTGGTAGGCAAGGAGCGCATGAATGCCATTCCGATCCGACACAACCCTCCTGGGGACACCCACGATGTCGCGTCGCAGAAAGACAGACGCCCTATATGCGCCCACATCTGGCGTCATCGCGCGCTCTTTTTCCAACAAACACAACAAGGTCTGATATTGGCTGATTCCAGATAGAGCAGAAACTTCACCAACGCCAACAGACTGCGCCTCGTGCATGTCAAGCAACATTGCCTCAGCATCACGCAACCTTGAAGACGTGCGCCTATCGATATGCCCCACACGCGTAGCGCGACTCAGTTGTCCTGGTCCCATGGCTTGCTCTCCCGGCCCGCTCCATCCTACGTCAAGCCCAGCGATCAAACTCTAATAACAGATTGCCGCTCAAGTCAAAACCTTCCACTCTGCTTGATCTTGCCTATAACCTCTTGTGTATGCCCCTAGACCTTGTCTAGCCTGCCCTCCTCCCTTAGCTTCTGCGCTTTCTTAGTATCTGCTAGGATATCCCTGTTTTAGTTTAGCAGATAGCTTTTACTGCCTTTTACACTATTACTTCTAATAACGTCTGTCTTAGCGCTATCCGCTTTAGAGGCGTATTGCAGCGCTGTAGCAGCGAACAAATGTCTTTTGCTGCTTTCTACTTATAGAACGAAGAGAAAGCGTTAAAATAGTCTACTTAGTATAGACATAACAGTGTCGTTAAAGTAACTAAAGAGTTCTCGCGTTACACCTGTCTTAACGCTAGATAGGTATTTATAGATGTATGTTGTCTTTAGATTCTAATTTGCTAAGTAAGCTATAAAGAGCAACGTTATAGAGCTTATATAGAGCAGGACGTTCTTAAAACTAAAGTTATGTCTAAGAGAGAGGTTAGAATAGTTAAGGCCTCTGAGTCTTAAGCTAGCCTGCGGGTCTAGGACAGCAACTACGCAAGACAGGTTGCCAGTCTTAGAGGCCTTGTTAAGGAGCGGTGTAAGCTAAGAGATGAATCGCATTCGTGCGTAGTATTGCACAGCCATCTTCCTGTCCAGACCCTCGGCTGTCTCGTCTCTTCCTTTCATCGTGAGGTATCCGCACGTCATAAACAGCACATTGACTTGCTTCTCCTTGCTCTTGATCTCACTACATGCCTCGTCCACATTCTTCAAGAGCGAGATGTCCTTTTGGATGAAGCTAACCTGGGATGAGCTGTTGATCGAGTTGAGCTCATCCATAATCTTGCTGGCTTCTGTCGCGTTGCGGCCGATCAGATATACATGTGGGGATATGGTCGTGCGGACGAATTCGCGAGCAGTGAAGAAGCCTATCCCGCTTGTGCCTCCGACGAATACTGCGACTAGATTCGGTGGTAGGGTTTTGAGCGAGGCGTTGTGAGCGCGGACAATGTCGAGAGCAACCATGATGACGAGAATTGAGATGAAGTAGAGATTTGTACAGGAAGATGCAATGCTAATTAGAAAGCGTAAACAACCGCGATGGCAGTCATTAATGAAGTATCTATTGCCGATGAATGTAGTCCTGCCAGCTTAACCGTGCGTCCCAATATTCGTCCGTGGCGACGGAGATAGCGTTTGTAAAGTATCCCAGACTTTTCGTGCCGGACAGATTCTAGCGGGGCATTCTGTACCCAGACTTTATGCTCGAGAGCATTGCTGAGGGTGCATACAGGTAGGAAGCTGGTGCTCCCACTCGAACAGGCTCAATCCTCCGCGTCCGCCGAAGACAGCGCTAGTCCCACCAGATCCTCACCCTCCACCCCACCAAGTACATTTCGCAACATGACTAGATTCACGTTCGGCGCAGTCTTTTGTGGAGAGGAAATACGCCCACCATGAACGCATTCGGTGACATGTCACCTACCTTGGACCCGACTCAACTCGCTGCTGGACACGCTCCACCCACGCCTCCGCACGAAAATGCACTCGACGACATATACGGTTCAGCGCCCGCTTCACCCACCCTCTCAGCGAATGTTCCTCATGTACGCGCTCACGAAATACTGTCCGACCTCCCTTCGCGTCAACGAGCGCTCGATACAGATGCATACCGAGAGGGTCTGGCAAACAGCAAAGGCCAATACGTGCAAGAAGGATTCGATGAAGGCTACTCTCTCGGTGCGAACCTAGGCCTACGCGTCGGCTACATACTAGGAGTTCTACAAGGCTTTGTCGCGGCCTGGAGGGGTCATGATGAGCAAGTCCACAAGGAAGTGTCACATGTCTTTGATTCTGCGCGTAAAGAGCTCGCCATCGAGGAGTTGCTAGGCCGCCAGTGGGTAGACGAAGAGGGCATATGGAAATGGGGCGTTGTAGGAAAAGACGATGACCCTACATTCAGGGAGGTCTCGGACCAGCATCCTATAGTGATGAAGTGGATGGGCGTGGTTGAGGACCTAGCAAAGAGGTGGGACGTTGATCTCAAGGCTGTGGAGAAGAGCCAAGTTCCGCAGGACGAACAATCATGAGTGACTCCAAAGGATATTAAGGTGCTCTCTCGCATTCCCACTCCTCCCATGGTATATCGATATCACCACAAAGCTCTACTTGCATCGGCAAGGGCTGAAGTGGTGTCAACGCAATCAAAGCAATCGCCTCTCCATGCTTCCGATCAGAACGCTCTATAGCTCGCCCGAGGACGAGGTAGCCTCCTGTTGACGGAAGATGAAGCAGAACTGCACCATCTTGAGATAGGGTAAGAGGAGGCAGATATTCGCAGACAACGTCCTATCCTCTCCCATCCCGCGCAGCTTCACAAAGTCAGAAGTTTTGGCTAGATAAGGAAACTCTTATAGATTACAAAGAACGAGTGGATAGAGCTACGATAGAAGCAGAAGGTCGGGTTATACCGGAGCATGAGGCTGACACCTCTAGATGGTGCACGGACGAAATAACGGTTGTAGGCGGGCAATTGGCGGCGTTGAAAATGCCGTCATGACTTTAAGTCCGACAATGCGCGACAGATAATGCAATCTCACAACGTGCTCCTCATGTCATACTACACATTTCCCGTGCTGTCTTCACCCTGTTTCCGACAGCCATGATACATGGCTTGTCTGCTCTTCGAAGAGCACCTGCGCAACAGGCAACATCACGATTGCTGACGTCAACCTTCTCCCCCACGCGACTCTACCAGGCACCACTCGCGCGCCGCCTTCAAACACAGCAATGGGAGCCTCTGCGCCCTCCGAACCCCGCAGACCTACCGAAACCACGACAACGTAAAGTCAAGCCTCCGTTTACCCGCCGGAAATGGGTGCGCCGCCTTGCTGTCATCTCTGCACTACTCGGTGCTGGGTGGCTAGCTGACCGGCAATTCTACGCTTCGTCCATCACACGCAGTTTGCGCACATTTAAGACCGGCCTTTTGATAGGCATAGACTACAAGATCAACTTCCGCGCGCATCCTCCGCTTGCGAACAGCATTGAGGAATTGCATGCGCGGAATGCACAAAGGATATTCGACCTGCTGCGGTACAACGGCGGACTATATTTGAAGATTGGACAGGCGATTGCTATGCAGAGCGCGATATTGCCACCACAGTTCCAGAAGATGTTCCAGCAAATGTTCGACGATGCGCCGCAGAACGAATGGTGGGAAGTCGAGCAAGTCATACGAGAGGACTTTGGCAAAAGCGTCGAGGACGTCTTCGGTGTCAGCTTCACACGGGAGAGACAGGACGGTCGGGGTATAATGGAGAAGACTGCAAGGGCTAGCGCGAGTGTTGCGCAAGTGCACTGGGCAAGACTGGGAGATGGAAGGGAGGTCGCCATCAAGATCCAGAAGAGAGAGATTGCGCAGCAGGTAGGATGGGACCTTTGGGCATTCAAGGTCGTTTCCAAAGTGTATACCTGGTGGTTCGGCATCCCTGTCTACACGCTGGTTCCATACATCTCGGAGCGCTTAATGCTGGAAACGGATTTCGAGAACGAGGCAGACAACGCGGTAGAGATGAAGGGGCTGGTGGCCGGAGAACCGCGACTCAACGGGCGGGTTTACATACCTGCAGTATACCGCGAGCTTTCAAGCAAGCGTGTCATGACTGCGGAATGGATCGAAGGTGTACGATTATGGGACAAGGAGGGCATCACAAACAGCTGGAAGGGTGGATGGCGCAGAGGCAGCCCCGGTGCAGGTGGTAACCAGCTACCACCAATCCCCCGAGACGCTAAGATCGATACACATGCGCCGGAGGATGCCACACAGCACGAGTTCTTCAAGCCGGACCGTAGTTCATGGAGAGGCAACGACGAGAAAGGCGGCCTCGGCGTCTCCCTGAAGACCACCATGAACACTATTGTCGATCTCTTCTCAGCACAAATGTTCCTCTGGGGTGCGGTACATTGCGACCCCCATCCAGGCAACATCTTCGTCCGCCGCCTGCCCAGTGGACAGCCAGAAGTCGTCCTCATCGACCACGGCCTGTATATCCGCATGGATCCCAAGTTCCGTCTCCAATACGCTGAATTCTGGAAGTCGCTCCTCGCTTTTGACAACGCCAAGATCGAGGAAATCGTCACCAGCTGGGGCGTAAAGCACGCCGACATCTTCGCATCAGCAACGCTCATGCGTCCGTACGAAGGTGGCGACAAGAGCGTAGCAGGTGTCCTCAAATCTGAGATGAAAGGAAAAGACCAAGCGGAGCGAGCCTTTGAAATGCAAGCCAAAGGTCGCGACGCCATCAAGCTCATTCTCGGCGACGACGCAAAGTTCCCCCGTGAACTTCTCTTCATCGGCCGTAATCTACGTATCGTTCAAGGCAACAACCAATTCCTCGGTTCACCTGTCAACCGCATCAAGATCACTGGACTATGGGCTAGTAGGGCTTTGATCGAATCCAAAGATCTGAGTGTGAGCCAGAGATGGAAGAACTGGATCCAGCATTTGCGCTTCCGGTTCGTGCTTACACTTAGCGACGCGGTGTTCCTCTGGAGTAAGCTCAAGCAATTGGTCGGTGTGGGCGGAGGTATGGAGGATGATATCGAAGCGCACATGCGTGTCATGGCAAAGGACTTTGGTGTTGATCTTCAACATGGCGTCTTTGAGGGCTAGTAGCTGTATAATATATTTAATTCCCCTCACGTACGAGGCAATGCCTGTTGTGAATCATGATGGTATAGGATTGGTTGTCCTAGTATTGTATGTGCATGACGAACCCGTTTAAGAGTTGTTCCGTGTCACCATCTGCTTGTATACCACGAACGTCTACTCACAAACTTAGCGAAGCCCGTGGAGACTACTGGAAGTCATCATCTACTACGGTCCCATAACAAGCCCCGAAAAAAGACCTAATCCGCGCGTTCCTGAACAAAGTTCACGCAAAGCATGCCCCGCACTAGCATCCCGCTCGACATTTCCGCACCTCCCCACATCCATGGATCTTTCCGGCATGCGCGTCAGGCAGGCCCGGTTGAACATATATCCACCATAGACTCAGATCCTGGCCCTTCAAATACATAGAAACACTGCTTGTAGCAAGAGTCAAAATTTCCATCATCAAATCACATCTACTGCAAACAATGGCACCAAACTGGGACAGACTTATCCGCTTCATCGCCACGGATGGACGTGAGCTGCGGGGTCAACCAATCCTCCCCTCGCCAGAATTCGATGTCGGTACGACGACAGAAGAGACTGGACTAAAGGCCAAGGTAATCGATGTTAAGAATAATGACATCTTCGACCCCGCCACCAAGGTTACCGATGAGGAAGTCACCGTCAAGAAGCTACTAGGTAAGTTCTGACTGTACGAAGTGCATGTGAGACATGCACTGACTTCGTACCTCTACCTCTACAGGCCCCGTGACCACAGACGAAGTACCCATAATCAGGTGCATAGGACTAAACTTCATCAAACACAGTAAGTCCCTCTGTCATCTCGTCCTTCTCAAAGAAAGACATCCCATTGACCTCCCCACCCCAGTCCAAGAAGGCGGCCGTACCCTACCCCCTTACCCTTCAACCTTCATCAAAGCCAACACCTGTCTAAACGACCACAACGCCCCCATCGTCATCCCCAAACTCGCCCAAGACAACCAAGCCGACTACGAAGGCGAACTCTGCTTCATAATCTCGCAAGACGCCAAAAACGTCTCCGAAGCCGACGCCTTCAACTACATCGGCGGCTACACCTCCGGCAACGACGTGTCCTCCCGAAAACTGCAACGCGACCCCCTCCTCGCCGGCACAGTCCCCCAATGGAACTTCTCCAAAGGCTTCGACACGTACGCGCCGTTAGGCCCTCAACTCGTCTCCCCACGCGTGATTCCTGACCCGTCGAAATTGTATCTCAAGACGGTGGTGAATGGGGATCTGAGACAGAGTTCTGGGATTGATGATTTGTGCTTCAAGATTCCGACGTTGGTGAGTTATTGTAGTCAGGGGACTACGCTGAAGAAGGGCA